GACTGACTGTATTAATTTTACAGGTAAAGCTGTGTGTGCTTGCACACCAGCTGATGCTGAGTGCCTCTCCGTGTCACCTACTATCTGCACCTCTCTGACCTCCTGAAATTGCGATGAACAAGGCTCACTGGGCAGGGAAAAGCCAGAGAATTTTTCCCTTCTCATTTAGCACTGTACGATGCCACCCCGCGGCTGCGCACGTCTCCCATTGAGGTTGTTATTTACAGTCACCTCAGCTATGTCAGTTTATCTCAAGGCATAAAAGACTGCAATCCAAATGCACGCCCGGAGCTTGCAACTCAGCTCTCCTACGTGTAACTATGCACCACAGCAGCTCCCTCGACCAGTTTGATAAGCTCAGAGTCTGCCGGTTGATAAAGTAGCCTCTTTATTTTGATACCCCAATGATACAACTGGTACTGACAAGCTGCAGAGAGAAGGGTTGGAGTAATGGGCAGGTAGTAGAGTGGGCAGAGGGAGATCTTGGAAAGCTCTCAGCCTGCCTCTATAACAGCTACTTGAGAAACGTGTCTCAAAATGCTCTTTTTGTCAGAAAGTGCCTCTGTGTTGAAACAAATCAGGTCTACTGCATTTTCGGTCTCAGAGTACAGCTGAAGCAGGATGGGAATATCAATGAATTGCTTCAATTTTTTTCCTCAAAATTTTAATTTACAGGAGAAATGTTTGACATTACAGCATTGACATGATTGTAATATCATCTTCAAGCAAAAAACCCTCATGGTTTTGGCTTTTAAACCTTGATTTAGAATAAGGGAGAAGCAAGGACATTCAAAGTAATGGTAATTCTCTTGGGGCAGCAAAAAATTCCCCACCAATTATGGCCTGGCATGTTACAAACTGGACACAAATTTCAATTTTGGAACTCGTTTCAACAGTCTAGTTGAACATTCACCTTAGAGATCCTTCTGGTCCATGAAAGGTCCATCCTTCAGAGTCTTCTAAGCCAAAGGCATGTGACCTCCTCTGGCCTTGTTCTTCTCTGCTCTGTTTTCTAGGATGAAGCACTACAGTCCAGGTGTTCAGGGTGAGGGAAAGGAAGAGGGAATGGAGGTGTAGAGTGTTACTGCATTCCCAGTACACCTATGCAATGTTCTTTTTAATGTCATAGTGCATCAGTGGGTGCTAACAAATGGTGGCTCCTAAACAGTAGGATTTTCTAAAGGGGAGAATAGCAATGAGACCACGTCCTGCTTTTGTTGAAACTACTAGCCAATACTTCAAAGAAAAGGTGTTCAAGGGACTTAGATGGCACATCAGGACACCACCTGTGAAGGAGCAGTTTAGTAAGACCTGTGGAGAGTGATATTTAGAGGGTGAATCTGGGATTACTAAGTGTGCTGCAAATTTCACTCTACATTTTTAGTCAACCTGTGTTTGGGATGATTAAAGGCAAATAACTGAGTAGCTGGGTTCCCGAGAAGGGAAAAACCAAACCCACGGAGTGGAGCACAAGAAAACAATAGCTGGGCTGAGAATCAACAGCTCTTAGGTGGGAGCTGAGGAACGTGCGTAATAGCACGTTGTGTTCCCACAAGTGGTCTAACCAGACTGCCACGGCTTAGCCTCCTGAGTTAGACAAGCACTTGCCTTCTCTGGGGGAATTACAGAGCATCGCTCACCACCAGACACAGTACGCAGGATTTTCTCCCCCAGTATACAGTGTTCCCTAAGGCAGTCTGTCCTCCATGTAGTCAAGAAGAAAAGACAATCCCTAAACACTCCATGAGGTTCTCAACTATGCTATCATTAAAAAAAAAAATTACCAGTCTTAAGATAATCCTGAAACTATACCTGTAATCATAGAATCATAGAATCATTTAGGTTGGAAAAGACCTCCAAGATCATCAAGTCCAACTTGTAAGTACAAATGGGGGCAAGTAGAAGCCATCACAAGATGTATATGAGACACTGTACTACAGCAATCCCTCAAGTCATTCTTTGGGCCCATGCTAAGAAGGATTTTCTCCCTTCAGACCATTAATCATGCTTGCCAATGGGCTCTAAGAGAAACACAAGTTTAACTGCTGTTGGCCCCTTTTGCAGATGTTTTTCTTTGAAGAGAGAGACTGGCAAAGCTCAAGAGACACAGTAGTTCAGAAGGCACTGCAGGAAACACACCCAGGTTCCTCAGGATTTGTATCCTCCCAGCAGCCATATTTCCACTATAGGAAAATTGCCCGATTAGCAATATTTTATCACTTGTAGTATAAGAGATCTCCTCTCTCAACAGCTGTTTACTTTATAGTTTTCTCAGTAAAATTTGCATCTATTTAAGATAACTGAGCCTAATGATTTAATTGGCAACTGCTATTAGATGTTCTCAAAAAGTTTGATCTGCATTCAAGGTTGATAGTAGCAGGAGTGAATTATAGACTTAAGTCTCTAGTTGAAGGAAATAGGTTTCAGCGTCTCCTCAGAAGGAATTTGGTTCTGATTAACGTGAACAGGGCAGTATAACAGTTGATGAGAGCGAAGACTGTTTATGGGAGGGAAAATGGTTATTTACCAGCAGAATTATATTGCTATCTTTATTGCCGAAATCAAGTATGAAAACTCTGTGTCTTATATGGATGTAATAGAGGGACACAGGTTGTCCCATGGCAAGGAAGTATTGGCAAAAGGAAGTGTTTGCTTTTGGGTTTCTTTTTATTAAGACTGACTTTCTCCAGCCAAGGTCACTTTACACTATTTTCTCCTCCGCCTCAGTTGAGAGACACATCCACAGAGGCATTGAGAGGTTGGCTAAGCCTACACTGTACTAAAGACTTCTTTTACTTCAAGGTTGGAGAAAGATTTGCAAGATAACATGCTTTCACCAAAGCCCCTGAAGTTACGCAAATCAACAAACTCTCAACACTTGTATCACATTGATTTTTGAGTTCATGGGAACCCTCAACAGTCCAAACTGGAAATTGAAACGGTGCTAGGAGCTGCTCTAACTTGTGTTCTAGCTCATGTAATCCCACAGTCCTTCTGCATCAGGAAAAGAACTAAAAGAGAAAGATGCCATGACCCTCAGCTCTAACTTCTTTTCTCCAGCTGCTAACATGCATGTGGGACATGTGCCAAATGGCTCTTTTACAGAGTGCATTGAAGAATGACAGGGTCCAGGCTGATGTTGTGTGTCCTGTGCAGCAGGGCTGAACACGAACCATACATTTGCTGCAGGACTAATTTAAATTGTATGTGTTTTCTCAGCTGCTCCACACAGGCACAGTGGGCTTGCCTGTAGCATTAGGGAGGGTCTTTCTCATTCTTCTCCTCCCTGGGCCACACATAATTTTAATGTTCTTTTACCTTTTTTCATATGGGATTTTTGCCATAACATCCTCAGCTGAGACAGATTTACCCAAGCAAGCAGAGAGAGTTCCAGTCTTGGAGCTTGGATCTGGAGTCTGTATTCAAATCTCTGCAGTCTTACAAAGGGTCTGAGGGTAAGACGTGCATCTCTCTTGGCTCTGGACTGTCGCTGGTGGCGTGATGTATTGCCTCGCAGGGGGATTCAAAGCACCTCCCAGTTGATGCCTGTGTCTTTGGTTCTTTCCAGCAAAATGTGTTTTCTTTCCCCACTGTGTACCAGACCATGACATGCAACAGTGCTAGCTAGCCCCAGGTACTCCTTGGGAAGTCCTGTTATGCTGGAGAGAACTCTGGCATATCGTAGACCCTTGTGTATGGGACTGGCTTCAACCTACCCCCAAGCTAAACAACACGCAGGTGGAGGAGGCTGGCTATTTTAATGGCTTTGTACAAACCACTGCATGCAACCTCGTCGGGTTCATGAGCTTGTCTGAAAATAGTGACTGTATTTGGATCTTGTAATAAAGAGAGGCAGCTGTAGCTAGATTAAGGAAGAGGTGTTCTCCTAAATCTCAGTGGAATTTTCTTCGGGAATATTGCTCAGAAGAGACATCCTGGCTGCTCAGAGGTGGGTAGTGTCATAAATAAATGGCAGTTAAATGGAGAAGGGGAAAGAGGAGATGAGAAAGTGTGAGGAATAATAATGAGGAGTTAAAAATCCCTAAGGAGAATATCAACTATAGGTTACCTGAAGTACAGCGCAATGTTTAAGGTCAGAGTAATTCTGTTTTCAAGCCACATCATTGCCAGTATTAAAAATAAAAAGAAGAAATAATGTTATAGCCTTGACACAGTGTTTTCATTTCAGACTTGGTATAAATACTTGCAATACCACTGTCATTCAAGTCCCTCCTGTTTAGCCCAGACCCACCTTTTCCCCATTGTTTCTGTGCTTTTGCCATTTCCACCACACCAGCCGCCTCTGACCTAGAGCAAGTCTCCCTCTGTATCGCCGTTCCCTTTCTGTAAAATGTGGGTGATAGTACAGCAAGCCTGCAAGAAACAAATGCCCTGGCTGAACATTATCATAGTGGGTGCTGTGAACATAGCCTAAGGAAAAATGCTCGCAAACATAAGGTGAATTCAAGTTTAAAACGGCTGCAATGACAGGCTGATCTAAAACTTCTGTTCTAGTTGCCCTTGGCTTTTTGGGGTGTTTCAAAATCAGATTCCACTGCAGTAACATGCAATGCCATGTGTCTGAGGGAGTGCACGTGCTGGTTCACATTAGTGTCCTTTAGTATGAAGGGCTGGCTGCCAGTCAAAGGCTCCCTTCATCCAAGCTCAAATTAACTCCATGCCGTTCAGCAATGCCAGCTCTGCATGCATCTGCTGCTTCTCCTCTCTTATTTAGACTAATGAGGGCAGAGCCCACACATCTTGTTAAATGTTTGCTGTAGTGTTCAAAGTCTTGGGGAGGCTTGAAAAAAACCCCAACCAAAACCTAAGGCCAAGCTCACCAGCATTTCCAGAACAGTTTTGATACATGACCAGGTAGCTTGAAGTTATTACAATATTTGATAAGAAAAAAGGTTCCTATGTTCATGAAGGAGCTGGGAAAGCAACAGCATGTCCTGGAAACATGAAGAACATGAAGGCAATTGGAGCTAGGAGTCAGCATGGATTCAGCAACAAACCTGATAACCTTCTACGGTGCCCGACCTGATAACCTTCTATGGTGAAATGACTGGCTTGAGAGATGAGGGGAGAGCAGGCGCCATTGTACATCCAGACATCAGGAAGGACTTCCTCACTGTCTGCCAGAATACCCTCATGGAGAAGCTGAAGAAGCATAGCATGGCTGCGGAGCAGCGCAGTGGAAGGAAAATAGGCTGAGCGGCCGGGCCCAGAGGGTGGTGACCAGTGGCACCAAGTCTGGTTGGAGGCCAGGAACCAGCGGTGAAGCCCAAGGCAAGGGGCACTGCCTGCAGGTGGAGGGAGGTGGTCCTTCCCCTTGCCTGTGTCCTGCTCTGGGCTCCCCAGCGCAAGGCAGCCATGGCCCTACTGGAGAGAACCCCCCAGCGCAGGGCCCCCTAGGCCCCCCCCACTTTCCGTTGGGGTCAGAATGTTGGTCAGTTGGAGCCAACAGCCCCCAGAGCTGGCAGGAGGGAGCTGTGCTGGCAGGGAGCAGTGCTGGGAAGAGGCAGCTGCTGGCTGAGCAGCTCTGACCAGCCACCGGGACCAGCACCCCGCTTCCCATCCTTGTCATCGCTGCCTCGGCCGCGTCCTGGGTGCACGGCCAGGGTCCTCCTGTCCCGGGCGGGATGGGCCAGGCCAACTGCTGCTGCGTCTCCAGGTGGGCTCCCCCTCTGCAGGGAGGCTCTCAGCGACAGCGAGCCGGTGCTGAGCACGGACGTGCGGCTGAGCCGGGGCCGCAAGAGGAGCGAGAGGCGCCTTCTCCTCCTCCAGGAGGAGCTGGTCATTGCCAAGTTGCAGTAAGAGCCTGAGAGCCCAGGGGCCTTTCCTCCACCCCCAGGGCAGGGACACCCTGGCACCAGCCCCAGACCCCGGGACCTTGGTGCTGCCTGCACTGGTGTGCATCCCGAGGGCAGCTGGGGGACAGGGCTCTGCCCAGGGGACCCCCAAGGAGGCCACCTCCAGTTCACCGCCCACCTTTCCTCTCCGCAGTCGTGGCACCACCCTGCGCCCACAGCTCCGCCTGCCCCTGGACCAGCTGTGGGTGCTGAGCGGCGGGGAGGAGGAAGAGAAGGAGGAGGAGGAAGGCAGCCACAAGCACCAGACCTCCCTCATCTTCGCCTGGCCCACCGGCTCTTGCATTGCCACCTTTGGGTGAGTGGTGGTGCCACTTTTGGGTGGTGGTGGGGGCCTTGCCACCTCCTGCATCCCCTGCTCACCCTTTGGGCCCCCGAAGGGAAGAAAAAAATGGCTGCCAGAGGGAGCCAGGGCTCGGGCAGCACCTCTGTCCTGACCCAGAAGGGCTCCTCCTGCCCCTGTATCCTTCCCCATGGGGCAGGGCTCTGCAGGTGCCCCCTCTGCCCCGGGGCTGCAGGGCAGTAGGGCCTGAGGCTCTTTCTCGTCTCTTGCTGCAGCTCCCAGGCACTGAAGGAGCTGTGGCTGGGCACGCTGCTGGGGTAAGGCGAGGGGGATGCTCCAGGTGCGGCCAAATGGGGGAACACAGCTCCCCAGCTGGGGAGAGGTGTCCCCAGGGCTGCTGCAGGCAGCTCTCGGGCAGAGCTGCCTGACAAGGGAGAAGAGGTGGCTTGGGACTCACCCTCTCCCTTCCCGGTGCACAGGACACCAGAAGGAGCCAAGAGAGCCCGGGTGACCCGACTGCCCTCAATCCAGCTCCTGGAGAAGGAGCTGAGCCGTCGCCATGCCGTGAGTGTTTCTCGGGTCAGGGCTCTAGCACCGAGCACTGGTTCCCCACCCAGCACCACAGGCATCACTGCTCACCTTCTTCCACTCCTCTCTTGCCCAGTGGAGGACAAGCAATGCCAGGAGCCTGGAGAGGCTGATGGAGGGACAGGTAGAGGTGAGCATGGCTGCCTTTTGCCCACCTCGGGCTCTGCTGGGCTGCCAGGGATGTGTGGCGATGGGGGTGAGCTTGTGTGGGAGGAAGGGACGGAAGGAGGGAGGGTCCCACGGTGCCACTCGGGGAGCAGAGAGGGTCGGGGACCCAGCAGGGATGCCAGCACGTCCTCACTGGCAGCACTGGGAGGAAGCCTGCTGTGCCAGGAAGATCCCAGGAGGGCAGAGAGTCCCAGCTCTGCCTGGTTCTTGCAGGATGATCCCAAGGAAGGGCCTCCGATGGCCCCACCTAGGAATGGAGGGGGACTTTGCCACGCACCAGGTGAGTTTTGAAAAGAAAGGCAACCTCCTGCATGTGGCTGAGCTGTGCTCACTTGTCCCTTGAGTGTCACCATGCAGGTCAGGTAGGCCAAGGGAGGACATCGCCTGGATGAGCAAGAACACCCACTGGGCAGCGGCAGCTGGACCTGGTTCTGCGGGGACACGGAGCCTCTGCTGCTGGCCACAGCTTGGAGGAGGGCATGGCGAGGGCTGGCCCAGGCTGTCCTGCTGCCATGCCCGCTCTCAGGAGCCTGCGAGCTGGAGCCACTGAGCCGGAGCAGCGGTTCCAGCTGCTGGCTCCCTGCCTGTCCTGCCGCACCGCTCAGCCCCGCGCTGCAGGCAGGGCAGGGCAGGGCAGGGCAGGGCAGGCTGTGGGCGCGCTGGCCTGGAGGTCTTCACCGAGGGTCTCTTGTTCTCTTTTCCTTTGCGGCAGGAGGGAGCAGCAGGAGGAGGGGGCTGCCCTGGCCCTTTGCTCTGCGGCAGAGCCCGACCGCTGCCCGGGCGCCGGGGCAGGCGGG